GTCTTTTATAGAGACTGGGGTGGGGTTTGTAGGGGCTGAGGCGGGGTTGACTGAGGTAGTGACTAGGGAATGGAGGAGCCGGTGATGTCACTAGGCGGTAGGAGGTGAGCGAGTATTAGGTTACTCTCTTAGGTGGGAACAGGGGCATGCTGGGAAGAAGGGTTTGTTCTTTGGTGGGAGCAACCATCTTGGCATGACGTCACACAGGGGAGGGGCAAGGCACCATAGGAAGAGGGCAGCTACGCTACATAATAGCTGCTGAGGTGGTGGGAGACCTATCATAGAAGACATCACGGAAGACCTCACGCTGTGTCATAAGATTCCCATGAACACCAGAATGAGGAAATGAGGGACAGAAACAGATGAGTGGTTTCCAGAGGCTACAGAGAAAAGGTGCGGTGTTGTGTCAGGTTTTATGCACCACTGTTCCGCTGGGACATGCAGCTCCCAGGGTCGTAAATGGCACCAGTAAGGGATTAAGGAGGCAGAGTTTAAAATAAAGGAAGATGGTTTATTTGGAGAAGGGTGGAAAGGGGTGGGGATGTAGCTCAGTGGCACCATGCCTGCCTCACAAGCACAAAGTCCTAACTAAGTTTGATCCCCAGTACCAGGAAAAAAAAAAGAAAGAAATGGAAAAAGGTGGAAAAAAAGATAGAGAGCTACTCTGGAAAGGTGAGTAGCCCCAAGCCCTAGTCCCTGGCTATTTTTTTTTTAAACAGGGACTTGCTATGTAGTTCAGACTCTCTTCTTGCTTGCTGGGCTACGTGCTTGTCACTCAGGCTGGCTTCAAACTCTAAGTAATCGTTCTACCTCACCCTCTCAAGTGCTGAGATTACAGGTAAGCAACACCACACTGGCCCTGGGTCCTTTTATTTAGGGCTAGTGATTCTTCCCATCCCCCTTGTGAACACCTGGAAGTTTTCACAATCTGATTGGCTTTCTGGTTGTCTTTGACCCTAACCTGGGCACCTCTGTCTGCATTTTTTCTGGACGTTTGATTCCTTCCTGCCCCTTTGTGATGGATAAGTGGGGGCAGTTTTATAGAAAGGCAGTTTAGAGTTAATGATTAAGTAAAGGGAATGTGTGTATCTGGTGTAGTAACGCAGTGTCACCAAAGGGAGGATATATGTATACATGTATAGTTGTGTGTCTTTTATATTTTAAATAAGAGGCCTTACAGGACTGCTCCTTATCTCCTTTGCATTTTATCAGAGGGGAGTGAGGGGGCTGGTTACCCAGGTCTTTTATGTTTCTGGCTTTCTCTGTGCTTTGTTAACTTTTTCTGATGAATTCTTATGGTAATTGTGTTACCTGGTGCCTTTCTGGTTCTGGTTTCTCCTTTTCTACCTTTGTCTTTCTAATTGCTCTAACTGTAGTCCTAGAGTAGAGGCAAAAGCTGCCTTTAGTAAGATTCCTTATTAAGGAATGTTGTTGGCTCCTCCTGGGCTGGCCCTAACTGCCTAGAAGATATCTAATTAGCTTACCAATCTGCAATGCTATCACATCCATCCAAGTGTGCTTCTCCTAAGGATGAATAGCAGTGATTGATACTCTAAATAGGTATTAATCACTTGGGTCTGGGACCAAGATCTTACCCAACCCTTCCAGAAAAGATCCCTGACCGAAAATCCTTGAAAACTGGCTACATGACTTGCTTCCCTACTGGATCGCCCTCTAATCAGTATCACCTAAGCAACTATACTTGTTGTAATCTTATTGGTTGATCATACTTTTGTCTATCTGGTGATTTCTCATTGGATCAATATTACCTAAGGGGGCCAGGGATTTAGCGCAGTGGTTTTGCCACCTGCTGCACAAGCACAAGGACTCGAGTTCGATCCCTGGTACAAAAAAAAATTATCTAAGGGACTGTACTTGCAACCTTACTAGTTGACTATAGTTTTGCCCACCTTGAACCCACCTCATCTTGTGGCTTTGTCCCATAAAACACCTTTGAGAGGGCCAGGGATTTAGCTCAGTGGTTCCACCACCTGCCTCGGAAGCACAAGGACCTGAGTTTGATATCTGGTACAAAAAAAAAGAATGTACAAGCACAAGGTCCTGAGTTTGATCCCCAGTGCCGAAAAAAAAAAATACCTTTGAGAAGCAGGATTGGCGTGTAAACCACTTTCTGGTCCCCTTCTGTATCTCTTAGAAACTATCTTTCTCTCAATAAAATTTTCTTATTTTTAAATTTTTTAAAAATTTTGCAGTACCGGGGATTGAACTCAGGACCTTGCACTTGTGAGCCAGGCATGGCACCACTGAGCTAAATCCCTGGCCCTTCAATAAAATTTTCCTACTCTCTTGTTCCTAGAATTCATTTTTCAATTTTAGAGAACATGAACTTGAGTTTCAGATATCTAGCAGGTTTGGGAGTTACATCTCTTCCCCCTATATCAAGTGCCACGATTGTGTAACGGCAGACAGGGAGATACCAAAAGGCACCCAAGACTTAGTGTGAGACTAAAGCGACTCCATTTTGCTAAAATGCACCATTCCCCTAGTCTCTCACAAATTAATGGTTAAAATGTGCATGCTCTGGGACGAAAGACACAATCTGTACCAAAGCAAAGTTCCTAAGTTAATTACTCAGCCATCTGTTTGCCTAGGAAAAGAACGTTCCGGGCCCCCTATCCATAGAACAATCTGTAGATGTGCTGTCAGTATGTAATGGTCATGACTATTAGTCAGTGTGTCTGCTGACCATCAGTACGTGACAGTCGACCACTAACCTTTGTCCCTCATTTCCCTCGTAAAACCTACATGTAACCGCCCCTCAACCCCCCCCCCCCATGAACCTAGCCAATCAGAAATGTACACTTCATGCTTGCTAAATGTTAACCAATCATGTAACTGCTAAGTGAAAAATCTCCAAACCTTGCTGTAACCTCTATAAAAACCCCGCTAATTTGAAATTCGGGGCTCCCAATTCTGATCCGCTGCATCGGTGACGGTTTAGAGTCCCTGCTTGAGCTTGAATAAACGACCCTTGTGCGTTTGCATTGGAATCGGCTCCTTGGTGGTCTTTGGGGACTTCGCGATCTGGGCACAACATTAGAAAGCCTCCATTACTTCATTGGGATAGTTCCTCAAAGAATCAGGCAGCTGTTTTTTGTCCTTCTACAGTTTAAATAGTGTTTGCAAGCAGTAACTAAGTACAGAAGCAGAGCAAGCAGTTGATTGGTTACATATGATATCATTATTACTGATTGGTCTATAGCAAGCTCAAACTGAGGTTAGAAAACATTAGTTCAGGGTAAGGTTGGCTAGATAAGGGAGACACATATTTGGAATATGCATCAGTTCAGGGCAGGGTCTGCCAAGAAGAAATAGATAAGGGAGACATGTACTTGGAGTGGGCATCAGTTCAGGGCAGGGTCTACCAAGGAGGAATTTGCTTGGGCTGAAAAAATGAAACAGCTTATGGCCACCATTATCCTGGACTGGTGTCCCACCTGTCTGTCAGCTGTTTTATTTTTCTGTCTCAATTGGAACAGAGTTATGGAGTGTCATTGAATCCTACTGTCGTGGGCAGAGGGTCTCTGCTATCCCTGGCCTGACTCTCCCAAGATGAAGAAAGTTGTGGAAGAATCAGATAAGAGATCAAAAGAGTAAAAGCAAAGTTTATACTTTAATATAGCAAGCATGTAAGAGTAGAGCTGCCTTCTCTCAGAGAGACAGGCAGGAGTGTCCGAAATGGAGCCACCGTTGATGGTGGGCTCAAATTGTTAACTTTATAGTAGTCAGGAACCTATCCTGTCTCTGGGCTGAGGGCGCCCTTGCTTGATTGGTTGATTGGCTTGTTACTAAGGAGGATGGGGAAAGGCCTTTGGGGAGCTTTCACATTCTAGGGTTCCGTTCCTTTTTTTTCTTTAATTTCTGCAAAATAAGCTTTGCAGGGTACAGTGTTCAGAGGAAGTTCAACCACAAGCTGTCAGTTTTTGCAGGTAGTTAGGCCTGTTCAACTGTTTGTCAAAACTCCTTAGAGTGGGGGGTGTCCCTCATTTTTCCTACCTATGGGTTTCTATCCCTGCACTACTGAGGACATGGCAGGTGTCAGGCTTGACCTAGTTATGGAATGGTTAATAAATATGCTCTTTAATTCCAAGCTACAGTTTGACAAGATACAAAAAACGCAACAGGGCCAGAGATTTAGCTCAGTGACACTGTGCCTGCTTCACAAGTGCAACGTCCTGAGTTTGATCCCTGGTACTGGGAAAAAACCCCACAACCAAACAAGCGGCCAATGAAGGTGCTATCTCCACTCCGCAGAACACAGGATGGGATGTTGCCAAAGTAGAGATAACTGACAGCCCCCCCATTGGACCCCCGGCCAAACAGACCTGCTACCCACATCCACAGGAGCAGAGATAAGAAGCCAGCAGCCTCTCTTCACCCCCCTGTTTATCACCCAGGCCCATCACCCACGGGACTCTAAATTTTCCACCATCCCCCGCCTAAAATGCCTCATATCAACCACGAGCACCCTCCTCTCAGTGCCAATGGCCTTCTCGCCCTTGACCCATCTGCACCCAGATGGCAATAAACTCATTGCATGTTGCTTAGGCTTTGCCTGCCTCAGTGGTCTCAATCATAACTCTGTCCAACCTTACAGTAACAGCTACAAAGTATGGCACCTTTTCAATGCCAAGGCACCTGAAAATATGCACACATCTGCTTTTATCCCTGCATGGACCCTGACCACAAATATTTGCTCTGATCCCTATTTGTGATAGACGTGCCAGACCTCTCTTCCAATGCCCTATGAAGCTTCTTGCCTTTTCTTTGTTCAGTGGTGACAGTTGCCCAGGTAAATAAAGTCTACCTTTTTACTTTCACTAGCTTACCTGACTGGTCTCATCCTCCTCCACCATTTATTACAGCTTGCAATTTTGTGAAGAGCTCACAGGATGTGCCATGGGCTAAATTCCCTGGAGCAGGTGGAGCATTTGCAATCAGGAATAAACACTGCTGCAAGCCCTTCCTCAGCTGCACCCTCCCTTCATCTCCCACCCAAGAACCAGGTTACCAGGGACAGTTTCCTACCCTGGGGCAGCACCTTCTAGACTTGTATGGGCCTGCTTCATGTCTTTTATATAAATGTGACTTCCCAGAAGTTGGTATGAAACACTAATCCAGCCCTGACCTTCATCTGAACTGTAATTTCAAATAAAAGTCGGTGCTAAATTGAATCATATAAACCATGAACACAGTGTCATATTACAGTGAAAGCCATCAGGCTCCCAAACATGCCCTGTTGCAAATGTGTCCCTCTTATTTTGTTGCTGGTGCAGCTGGGGTCACTCAAGGGAGGACACAGGCTGAGCTGCCCCTAGGTCTCCAGGTTCCACCCTCAGGGGGGCAAGGGTGTGCTCGGTGGGAGTGGTCCTGCCTGGTTTAAAGTCCTAATTGCAATTTGAGACTCAGTGATTGCTGCTTTCTCCTCACTCCCCAACAACATACCAACTTATAAATCACCAGGAAACAGGAAGCCAGAAACACATTGCTGTGGAGGTGGCCACCAAGCAGCAGCCCTGCCAGATCCAAGCTGCTCTTCTCTTACCACAAACCACACTGCTCAGGCCTTCTCCATTTCCAAGAGGGGCACCTGCCAACGTAGATGATGCCCAAGGAGGAGCAAGAGGTGACCGTGCTGGGGGGACCCCACCACCCGGCTCCCATGACCTCCACCGTGATCAGCATTCCGAGGGACACCCCTGTGCGTGACCATGTGGTCTGGTCCCTGATCAACACAGTCATCCTGAATGTATGCTGCCTGGGCTTCATAGCCTTCGCCTACTCCATAAAGGTGGGTGTCCTGGGCATGGTGCTCTGGAAGGAGCTGTGAGCCTCCGTCCCAGCTTCCTGGACAGCACCCGGGTGTCTGGGTGTGTGCATGCGTGTGCTTGTGTGTGCGAGACCTGTGAATGCCCTGGGCCGTGTATGGGGTGCATGTCCCCCTGTGCGCATGTGCGTGTGTGCTGAGGCATCTCCCAGGCCAGGCACGGGTGCGATGCCAGGGCATCCTGGGGTCACACTTGGTCCCCGGCCACCCAGAGGAATTCTCCCCGCTGCCCACACCAGCCCCAGGCTGTCTGGGAGCTGCAGAAGGACCCACAGGGCACTTTGCCCCCGGTGGTGAGTGGCCAGCACCCGGGCCTCCTGCACAGTCTGAGTGTGGGGGGGGGTCCCCGACCTGAGTGAGGGCAGGGCAACCCTGGGGCCCCCCGGTCAGCAGCCTGGCTCTCCCCTGACCCAGCACAGGGCCCTCACTCTCTGGTCTCCCCCAGTCCAGGGACAGGAAGATGGTGGGCGACGTGATCGGGGCCCAGAGCTACGCCTCCACCTCCAGGTGGCTGAACATCATTGCCACAGTTGTTACCATCATCCTCACTGTTGTCTTCATCATTGTATACTCTGCGGCCATCGTGACACTCTTCCAACGCTTGTCCCAGTGACAAAGGATTCTCAGGGCTACTAGTCCTGTGATTTCCTCCCTCACAGCTTCTCTGGCCCTGGGCTGGGTCTTGCTCTGTACCCCACACCCTCAGCAGCTGTCCACAATTGGGCTCAATAAAGTGTGTGTTTCCACAGTGCTGTGACGTGTCCTGGGGAGGGAGCATTACTCACCGTCCCCATTTCGGTCCTGAGATGAGCCACCCTTGGTGCAGCGTCTCTTCGAGGAGCAGAGCAGGTCCTCAGGACAGAGGTCTCTGGGTACCTGCTGTGGGGAGGGGCAGCCCACTGGGGTCCTGCTGTGTCCCCTTTCACATTTTCCTGACCCGAGGCAGTGTTGCCAGGACAATTCTGTCCACTCTAGCAGGAATGTGTGCAGCCCTGGACTTGGGGATCCACTGTGGCTTTCATATTCCTGGGGCAAGTCCTGGATCAAGTCCTGGAGCTGGGCTCTGCCTTCCTGGCCCATCCAGCTCTGGCTCTATCCTGGCTCCTGCTTCCTGTGGATTCAACATACAACTCTCCTTGGGTGTGGCTGGTGTGGCTGCCATTGGCTGAGGGAGGTTAGAAACCAAGGTTCACACTTGGTGACTTCTTGTCTTTGAGGCAGACCCTGATGTCTGAATCCTTAGATTCTAGCAGTGCTGGTTTGCCTAGAGAAGGAGCTGTTCTGAGAAGGTTGGGGAGCATTGCTGCTTCTGGCTGGGCTGGGCTGGGTCAGGTGGGGGCCCCACAGACCTGGCAATCTCCAGCTTCTCACACATCCCACTTGCCAAGCACCTCAAGCCAAGGGCTTCACCAGGTGTCCCCTGCTCTGCCTTGGACCTACAAAGTCCCCTGCCCCTTTGGGCCCCATGGGTCCTAATTCTGGGGATCTATGGAGAGTGTAGGGTCCCTGAGCTGAAAATGAATGTGCAGGAGGGCAAACTGTCCCTGTATTCCTGGGATATGAGGAGGGAGGTGGCTTGGAGTGTTATGGGTGAGCGAGTTGGAACAATAGACATGCACCACACTCTGAGCCAGAACGGAGTCTGTTTTATTTACAGCCAGAGACTGAGAGGGGGCTAGTGCCCAGAAAGTTCTCTCAGCCCTGAGAAACACTTTGATTTCTCCTTTTAAATCATGCCTTCAGTTGGGGAGGGCTCAAGGGGAGAGCAAGTGGAACTTTACAAAAGCAGAACCATGCCAGGTTAGTGGGGGCAAAGGGAAGTTTCACATACTAGGTGAACTACAAAACATCCTGCAACTGCAGCAAGTTTAGTGCCAAACAGGATGTGGGTTTTGGGTGCTTTGTCCAAGCATAAGCACACAATAGTGGTAAGACTCAAGATGGAGTCAGGTTGGTTAGCACATTTCCAACTCCTCTAAGCATGATGTGAAAGCATTGACTCAATGAGAGCCTCTTGCATGGGCAAGGGATTATAGTAGGATCTCATTTACATCAGTTTAACAGAGGCTATGTGGGGCCAGGGATTTAGCTCAGTGGTTCTGGTGCCTGCCTTGCAAGTATAAGGTCCCGAATTCGATCCCTGGTACCAAAAAAAACAAAACAAAAAACAGAGTCTATGTGCTGTTTTACAAAGTTGATTATCCAATTAAGAATACAGGGGCCCCTGTTCCACCACTCCCAGCCCAGAGGAAGGGGCTTCCAGGCCACTGTTCTACCACTCCCAACTCAGAGGAGGTGAGCTGCATGGGTGTCAATAGTTACCACCCCCCC